TTCAAAATATGAACATTCTAGCCTAAGATGAACCCTTCTCTCCTCTTCTTCCTCCACCAACCCAGTGGGCTATAATGCTCAAATTTTCATAAGACAATCTTTCTAGGAATTTTAACACAAAATGCACACAATGTATTAGTTTACTAATTCTATTTTTGTCATACACTGGCAACCTCTTTAACATCTAGAAAGACTAGATGTTGAAAATTAGGACTCATTTGTCCAGTATATACACTATATACATACACAGCTAAGTAAAACCAAATGCAGGAACATAAAGGACAATGGTTTATCTTCCCTCACTATAAACACACTGGCAGAGCTCTCTGCACTTCCTTCTCCTCCCTCCTCCTTTGAACCAGTGCACGAACACAATGTGTACTATTCAAAGAGGTGGTTTGGCCATTCCCCCCAAATTAAACAGCATTTCATATGAATGTTAAAAGATATTTACAAGAATGTCTTTTTACTACCTCTATTTTTAACATGTATCAGGCACTTCAGAACATCTAGAAAGACTAGCTATTTCAAAAAAGTACTTAGCATTGTCAACTATATATACAGTAGTTGAGGAACAAAATGCACACACAAAACAATGGTTATATGAAAATGTCTTCTAAATATGACCAGTCTGGCACAGAACCTTCTTTTCTTCCTCCTCAAGGTCGTCTACTTCATGTCCTCTTACCCACTGAACAAACGTGGACGTGTGTCGCTCCTGATGTCGCTTCTAGAAGTGGTCTAACTATTCCATTTCCAAAGTCATTTCCAAAAGACATTACTTTTCTATGATTTTTTTAAAAAGCAAATAGGCATTTACAAGACGTGTGATTTTTCTAACTCTACTTTATCATATGTCGGCAACCTCTTTACATCTAGAAGGCCTAGATGTGGCAAAAGTTTTCTTTTAAAAGGTTGGGGGTAAAGTTGAGAGCAGCTTTTTCATATTATATACACAGGCCTTCTAAAAACGGCCAGTAAATCTTCCCAAAGGGTGGTCTTCCTATTGGCCAAATGCGGTACGTAATTCTCCCATTTCGATCTCCCAAAGTCAACGTCTGGTAGAACCAAGACCAACCGCCTATGGCCCGTTAGCCGTTCCGCCCGTCGTCGCCCGGGGCTTCGCTCACCTTCCGGGCCCGTTAGGGCCTCTGTCCACTGTTCTCCGGAGAAGGTGAGGTTTTGTCCAATGGGGACGGATAGGTCATCCCAGGGCCCAGATCTGTGGGGCTCCAAGGCCCAAGGGTGGTCGAGCTTGCGTCCACGCAGACCCGCCTTCTCAGGCCCTCGGAGGCCCCAACGGCCGTCCGCGGCATTTGAGTGGCCGCCATTCTTCTCGCCCCACCACACCCGACGTCCAAAGGCGCCGCGTGCCCGCTGGCTGGGCGGGGGCTGCGCGCAGGGCCCGCAGAGTTGGGCCAGGGGAGCGGGCAGCCGGCGAGGTCTGCGCTCAGAGATGCCGCCGCCATCGGCGCCAAGGTGGGGGTGGGGAGAGCCTCGCGGCTGCTTCACAGTCTGCGCCTGGCCGGTGGACGGCTGCGGCGAGGGCACTGGGTCTCTGCGGGTCAGAGCCCGCGACCTGTCCCCGGGCCCCCCAGTGCACCCGCCGGCCTGAGGCCGGGGTGCCTGGAGGGCCCCGGGATAGATGGCCGCGCTGCGCTTCTCACCTCGCTCTCTGCCGGAACTCTGGTTTCCAATTTTCTATTTCTGGTCCTTGACTCTTTCTCTTGATCTAGATACTTGTTTCTAATTGCCTTCTACTTGACTAACCTTCCTATACTCCAATTTCAAAATTAATTATCATCCACAACTAAGTTACCATCAATCATAATCATACACTCCAAAAAACACCTGTTCTTCTAATTGCAGGTTCTTGCTCTGGGAATGGCATCAAGACCTCCTATCAGTCAGAGTTGGTCCAAACTCAAGAGTCACCTCTGATTCTTCCCTTACCCTCTATAACCAAGAATGTAACAGGATCTGGGTTTCCATCCCCCAAGATGCCTCTTCTACTGATTCCTACTGCTGTGACTCTGGGTCAGGCTTTTCCTAATTGCTGTTTAAATTATTGTCAGAGTCCTCTATGTGGTTCCCTCTTGTCTGTTTCTCTCCATGAAGCCATTCTACTCTGGCCCACAATTCTCAAGAGGGCATTGCCTTGCTCAATCCACTGTCCGACTCTCCTGTATTTAAGGAAGGAAATCCAGACTCCTCAGCCTGTCATCTGGGGCTCTCTCTATCTTCCCCCAGCTAGTCTTTCTACTCACTTTTTACCTATTCATCCTCTATGAACCAGCTAAAATGGAAGGTTTTATATTTCTTACACTTTTATCTCTTGATATCTTTGTTCTTTCCTCTGGCTGCATGCCTACTTTCCCATGCCTGCCAGTCAAAATTCTTTCAGATGATGATCAAAATAAGTCAGTCTGTCAGAAAACACTGTAACTCTTTATGGACATAATGAATATGGGCTTTAGGAAGAATTTCCTTACTGAGAGGCAATGGCAACAGTATTGATTAACAACACAACACTGCCCAGAAAAACCACAAGCTTGGCAGGAAGGATGCATGTATGTGCTGGTGTGCAAGGCACACACTGTTTAACTAAGCAGAGTTGATTTATGTTTATGATGGGGTGCCAACAGCCAAGGAAAAAACAAATCGGATCTGGTAAAAAAAAAAATAATCAGACACTCTTTTTACCAGATTAATTTTAAGATCACATTGACATTCCTCTTGTGTGTTCTACACCACATCATCATAGGATAGCCCTCTCTTGGCCTTTCCGATCTCCAAATAATACTGAATTAAGGCTGGTGTATATAGATTTTTACTGACAGTGTGGGGTAATATAGATTCAGGGATGGCTGAATCCAGATGTGCGAACCACATCTGTGGGGCTCTCGCTCTCCACTCCTTGACACCACTTCCCTTTATTTTGACTTTATTTTCAGATGAGTTTCCCTCTCTGGTGAGAAAAACAACCGTTAAGTAGAATATTGAGGCTCTCAGTCTATTTTCATGATTTCCTCTACTGAATATTGTTATCCTTGCCTTTAATCCCCTGTGCCAATCTGTTTGAACAGCTTTTATGGCACTTATATAAATTAATCTGTAGGGACAAAAAGCAGGTCAGTTGTTCAGGAATGGAGTGAGGGGTGTCCTACAATGGGACACAACGGAGGTGATGTATCTTTAGTGTAGCTCGTGGTTTCACAGGTCTGTACAATTGTCAAAAATTATTGAATTGCGCACTTTAAATGGATGCAGTTTATTGTATGTAAATTATTCTTCAGTAAAGTTCATCAAGGGAAAAATAAAAACTATGGATGACAGTCCAGTGTATGACTAATTTACACAAGATGTCCCAGCAGAAGAAGGTCAATGAGGGCTCATGGCAGCCCATCCCAGCCCATGACAGCTGACTGTGCACATCTTACCCAATGCCACAAACACTGGACAGTCAATGACATCTTAATAATCACTTGAAATTGTCCATAGTAGGAGTATTTACACCATGGAAATAGATAAATGTTACGATTGGCATGTCCCCATTCCCCCAAGAGCCTATTGTTAAACACTTAATAGCAGATCATTGATTGATATCATCTATTTTATATGTGTGTGTGTGTATACTTTATACCCAATATTCGTTTATAGCTGTGTACTTACCTCAACTTCTAAGAATTTAATAATAAAGAAGGGAAATTGGTAAAAAATTTAGATGCAATATAGTATACTGACTGAAAGAATAAGATATAACTTTCTAATTAGACTCTTCTAATTTGGAAAAGAGGGGCAGGACAGAGATTATGTTAGAACTAAAGTGGAAAGAGCACTAGGTTAGGAATTAGCATGTTTGAGTCTGACACAAGTTTCACCCACTTATAGGCCATGTGACCTTGGGGATGTCCCCTTTCTTCTCTTAGCCACAGATTCCTCACTTGTAAAATGAAGACTATAATACCATAAAGTCTTAAATTACATAGTTCTTATGATGATTAAATAAAGTCACAACTGTGAAAGTGTTTGTTATTATTATATTGTAATCTGATGTTTCCAGAAGGTTTAAGTGTCTCACCAAATATACTGTAAATACCTTGAAAGCAGAGAACATAATAGTAATTCAGGAGCTACTTATGAGTTAAACAAAGCATTTCCAAATATAAATACTTAGAGTCTTATTTCTATTTTGAGTAAGATTAGGAAGTGTAGGTATTTACCTCTCTTTTGAACATGTATATTTAGATTATGGCATTATGTGTGTGATAAAATCAGTTACAATCTTTTTTTTTATTATAACATTTCAGCTCTATATCTTAAAACTTCTCCATCTTAAAATAGTTTAAAATAGAACCTCTCAAGTGTAACTATAAAACTGCATCTAGCTTTCTATGCTTAAATTTAAGTAACCTGCAGAAAAGAAATTGTAAAAGCTTCTTAGAAAGAATAAAAGAATTAGAAATAAAACACAAACAGCAGCAGTTAGGAATAGAAAAGTCAGGGAGTATTTGGTGCTTCATGAAAAGGGAGGAAATGATTCTTGTGGCACAAAGAAATCCAAAAGTAATGTAAAGAAAGGAGGTTTATAGAAGAACCCACTGTCTCTTACTGAAACCAAAAAGTCAAATATGGAGGACGGACTGTACTGGAACTTCTTTCTAATGGTTTATTGGGACCAAATGCAAGATTGGGTATATTAAGACAAATAGGGTCATCAAAACTTGCACCTGAAACCATGGAGTTTCCATGATTATGGAGTCGGTAGGGAAGTGAAAGGATGAAAATGGTTTTTTAGGAACATTTGCCTCATGGTGCTAATGTCAATGCATGTCCAGGTGTAAACACAAAGTCTGGTACTTGGATTTCCCAAAAAATTGGTGTTGAGAGTAGAACGGGTAGCCTATGACATAACAAAAACACCCACTGGAAACTTCTTTGAGTTACAGTCAACAGTAAGCTCAGTGTGAAACAGGGCTATCATGTTGTAGCAAAACCTGAGGCGACCTTTGGATGTGTTGGTAGATTAATTCATCTCTGATGAGGATGTTCATACCTCTGTTTATTCAACTAGTCAGACCAAGTCTAAAGGCTTGTGTTCAGCTTAACTTAACAGATTAGACAAATAAGACCATATGAAGAATAGGGGATATTTAAGCAGGAGAGGTGAAAATTGTTGGGATGTGTAATAGGGGCTGAAGACAACAGCTGTTTTCAAAACTGGAGAGTTTTACACAAAAGTCAAAGAAAGTTCCTTTTTCCTTTTGAGGTTTAAATGATGGTAGGACTACTTAGAAGTTATCTTACAATGAAACTTCTGTATAAGTAGAAGAGAGGTTAAGACATGAAATATAAGATACTCCCAACTTGGGTGTGTGTGAATTCAAGATACAGAACCAAGGTTAATGAAATAAATGTATGATATTCTGCCCTTTTGCATATAAGCTGCTTCTGCTGATTTAAATTGTTTTATTGATTTGAATTGCAATAATGATAAGTTTGCATTGATAGATTACCATTCAATTCTCCTACTTGCAATTGCAAGGAGTTTGCCTTGGAATGGAATATAGCATGAGGCCATGGGACTCATGAAGGATTCAAGGCTCTGAGGCCAACCTCATTAGTTGATCTAACAGGACTTAGACATGCTCATTTTCACTGGGATTTGAACATGGCATATTTGCTTGAGTGGTTGCCTTTAAAATAAAGGAAAACTGGATCATTATTAGAATAGCTTTCCTAGAGGATAAATATTGAGTTATCTTTTACTTATCAATGGTTAAATTAAAAGCAATTCTCATAATGGACTGATGCATTATTTCAGCCTCAGAATTATTGGCTCATGCATTTAATATACTATAAATAGAGGATGCTTTTAAGTTATGATAAACTAGCTTACCTATTGAGCTCAAGCTGACTGCATTATTGACAACATCATTAAAAGCAGAAGCACTATTTTATTAATTTAAAGGATGTGTGACAATGTTATAGTTAAATGGTATAATTCAGCTCAAAACTACAAATTAACCTCTAATTTGCCATTGCTACTTGGTAAAACATAAGTATTTAATCTACTTTGGTACTATAGTCTCAGGTAATTGGATTTTATACTTTTTTAGACAATTGATCATATTGTCTAGTCATTTAAAAAAATGACAGACAGACCTAATCATGTTGGTATATTCCTGGTGAACATGTCTTAAGCCTATACAGGGATATCTTTATTCATTCTCTCATCACCATCTGCCAGGTATTTGGAAATAATATATAAAAAAGTAACTGTCCTCACTAACATTGCATACATAAAGCTCCAAAATGTGCCTATAGTATTAGATTTGTTCAAATCTATATTGATACAAAATATCAATCAAGTGTCAGAGCAGAAGACAGACATTTTTATATGTCAATGTCTCAAGAAAATTTAACCCTGATATACTTCTTTGCAGGAAACTTCTAGAGGACATGTACCACCAAAATAGAAGAGTGAACTGTGAAAGAGGGAAACTTAGAATCTGGGACCACATTTCTCAAACTGCACCAACATGCCCTTGAAAGCCACAGCAAAATCACGGGGTGCCATGGAATACTTTAGTCATCAGAGGAGATATAGGGCCATTTGTCAGACACCATGTGAACTACCAGTAATAACTTGTTGGGACCTAAATATGAATACACAGAAATGTTACATCATTTCTTTTGGCCTACAAGTGTCATAAGAAAAACTAATCTGACATAAAGGGTATTATGAAGTAAGAACATTTGAAAATATTTGATCTAGGAAATGGACTATCTAACAGAAGACAAAAGCAAAGGGAATCTTCAGAAGGATAATGAAAGGAGTCTTAATGCCTAATGTTGAGCAGGTCTAGAGATCTACCAGGCAACATTAAAGCAGATCAGAAGACTCTGGGAGATACTTTTTCAAAGAAATAAGTGCTAGTATGTCCAATGGGTTTGAACAAATTGAGAGAGGAGATCTGCATTACTTTGAAGGTGGTGGTATGATTTATGATAAACACATAGAAAAAGAAATATATTATACTGCAAAATTTGCCAATATACAGATAAGAAAAAGATGAAGAGAAAAATAACCATAGTATGCATGGCTCATTTAATAGTAGTTTTTATAATGTAAAATTATGCAAACACTGAATATCTTTTAAAAGTTGATGTATTTTGAAGGAATATGAAGACAGGAAGCATGCAAATTTTTCAGCGTGTGTGTGTGTGTGTGTATAAGACTATATCATCACGTTGCATTTGGAAAAACTAAACGATAATTCTTATCATTAAAAAAATTAAAGTAGCAATAAAATCTTACTATATTATATTAAGTATCAAAAGGGTCAGCTTAAAATGTTGAAGG